CGATGCATGCGCCGCGCGATGTTAATCATTTACGGGTCAATGGCGCGCCGAAACGACACCGCACCGTAAACACCTTCGTATTCTTAGACAGTGTTGTCCCATGGGTCGGCCGCTGCGGACAGTCAATTAACTTCCACGTAACGTAATCAAGTTTATATTGCGCGTCAATCTTCCCGATCCTTTCTTTCCCGTTCGCAGAATGAGGAGGCCGCGAGGGCAGCGTCCTTCTCGAACTTCGTTTCCGAACTCGCAAAGTTTAACGATCCGTGGTCGTCGAAACGAATTTAAAAAGATTGCATCAGCGCTGTCCAGAAAAGCATGCGACCAGGGCCCGCTAACGAGTGGATATAATTCCTTCAGCTAACAAGGAAACATAGCCAATCCGCATACGACGACTTCTTTGAGATTTGTACGGTATTCGGCTCAGGAAAGTATTCGAATGAAAATTGTCCTTCGAGTTGAGAGTAGAATTGTATTTTCTTGGCAGAGAAAAACGTTTCTGGTTTACAGTTGATTGAAATGTTATTTAAAGTAGACAGAGAGACATTTTTCTGAAGAATAACATCCCTCCGTCGTTTTCTCTGCACCAGTGGTACGATTATTTTCTTCCCGACAAAAATCTCCCATTCATTCTCTTTCGCTCAATGCAAATTGCTGTAAAGATTTCTTCAAATAAAATCTTTCTCAAGCAAATCGATATAAAGGTTTCTGAAATTAAAATCTTTCTCAAGCAAATCGATATAAGGGTTTCTTGAATTAAATTCTTTTTCAAGCAAATCGATGTAAAAGTTTCTTTAAATAAAATCTTTTTTCAAGCAAATCGATGCGAAGGTTTCTTAAAGTAAAATCTTTTTCAAGCATATCAATGTGAAGGTTTCTTAAATTAAAATCTTCTTCAAGCAAATCGATGTGAAAGTTTCTTGAAATAAAATCTTCTCGTTGTATATATATTATTTCTAGAATTATTTCTTTCGTCATACACTTGAAACACGAAGACAGCAAAATAATTCATTATTTGAAATTGCTATTATTTCGAATGGATCGATATGATTTGTATTTTCCAATAACAGCATTAACAATAACTTACAAATATGATACTTATTTATTGTTTCCATTTGAAATCACATTTGCCCGGGTCCGGAAGGAAATGTGTTCGCCGATGCACGCGAACCTTCCGACCACCCGTTACGTGGTCGCAGCACGTGGAGGCGCGTTCTAGTCCGCAGACTCCTACTCACTGTCAGTGAAAACCGCATCGGTAGGATAGTCGGTGCAATGGAACGTGAGGGAAATGAGGAAAGTCGGGCACCGATGAAAGTGAGAGGATGCCAGGCTACAGGCTGTTTCAGTCGAACCGTTTCCTTTCTGTCAATCACACACGGAGAAAGGCGATGGCGATCGAGCGTGATCGATTCGCTTTCTGTTTCTCGTTCGACTCGTTTCTACGTAGACCTGCAAAATCCCTCCGTTGGACATCGTTCGCCTCGATGAACCCAGTGCCCTGTCATTTTGCCGCGGTGCACACGATGTTTGATAGCAAACTTTGCAACCTCATCGCGGTGCAATTGTTTCCGTAGCTCATCGCCGAGTGTCACTTCTGTCGACTCTTCAAAGGTACTCCCCTCGGGAAGCTATGCTCCGATGCGCGGACGGAACATATGCACGTGCATACAGGTCTTGACATACCTACTGCTAATTAGGGATATCGGCCTCTTGTTAGTTTGTTTACCCGGTTGCTAAATGCATACAGAGTAGAACTCCAATTATATGAACTCGCGGGAGATAACCAGTTCGCATAACCGTGTAGGTTCGTATTATGGGAGACCATTGATTATCCTCACTGTGCTTGTAACTTTTTGTTCAAATAACCAGAGTTCACGTCCAGATAAATAGATTTAACCGAACAAACAAACACAAGAAAACGTGCCGTATTTGCAATTGTTTATGTTCGCATTACCTAGGGCGTTTACATAATTGGAGTTACGCTCGGCAGTACGTTCACTGCATCCAGCATTGCCGAAAATTTCGTTGCAATAGGGTAAGTGTAGGTGTTACTGCGGTTTCTCAATGAAGGCGAAGTTTGATAGAGGAAATAAGACCTTAATAAATTGATAAAATATTACGCCATACACTTACAATTGTATGTCGATTTTTTATCAAAGTAATAATTACTTTATCTAAAGACAACGCTAATATGAATAGCGTATTATTAATTGCCGAAATATAAATGCCTTTCGAATCAGCGTTATCGTTACGAGTATTTCATATAAGACTCAACGTTTTCACATACTTCCGAATATCAAAAGTCAATAAATGAATTAAAACTGCGATTGCTGTTACTTGCGTGTCATAAATTCTCAATATTAACCCTTTCGATACTACGGGCCACTATAGCGGCCTTCCATAAGATGCCACCGAGGTACTACGGGCCACTAAAGTGGCCCTCCATAAAATGCGACTGAGGTACTACGGGTCACTATAGTGGCCCTCCATAAGTTCGATCGTTTGTAGCGAATAAAGTCAGTGCTTACTGCAGAAAGATAATTCACCTTATTTTTCTCTCAACAAGGGATAAATAGATATGCCTTTATTTTTTCTTTCAATTTTGTTTAACTTTATTTGGATTAACCCTTTTGCTACGGGCGGTTTCTCCGCTGCAGTACCCCCGCAACGATCGACGTCTTGTAGCGTGCAGTGATGTTGCAGCGCGCCGTTCAGCAGAAGTACCGCGGCGGAAAATCCGCCCGTAGCGAAAGGGTTAAACACATACAAAAATTATAAGATTCATTTTTAGAAGAATACATACTATAAAATATGTTATAGATTTTATTACTTTTATAAAATACCGCAGTATTTGGTGCTTCCGCAGTAATACCCACACTTACCCTACAATGGAATTGGGATAAATGGAATTCTACTGTTTGTGCACTTTTACGTAAGTTTGATCATTTAAACTTTTATACGATTCCCAAGTGTAAATTCCCACCCCTTTTTCGATTTTAGATACCGTACAATTTGTCACTCCTCTGCAGTTCCATTGTAATTTAATGCATTTGGACTTGGAATTTAATGCATTAGTGAACGCAGAGTTTTATAGCTAGCGTTTAATACATATAATGCATAAAAATATATAGAGGACGTCGATAACAGAACGAATGTCTTTGCTTCAAGAAATATTAACGACGACCGAACAAAATATTTCGAGCACTTAGTCTCCTTCGCAGCATGCATCCAAACATGCAGCGGCTAGCATATACAGTAAATTCTAATCCGCGCTCAAATTCTACACAAAAATGGACAATTTGTGAAGAGGAGATACGATTATTCGAACCTTGCAGCTCGTTTTTATAATTACCGATTGTCAACAATTATAAAAATGAGCCGCAAATTGTCCATTTTTGTGCACAATCTGAGCGCGAATTAGGGTGAATTTACTGTAAATAAGGAAATATATTGTGTACTAACCTTTTTTAGATTAAACCAAACGATTTTAATTTTTTTGAGACATAGACCAATTACTTTGTTAGGGAATAAATAAACAGAACATTTTTTTTTCAATTGATTGGAATGACAACAAAAAATTGAATAACGATGATTCTTCAACTTTTTCATGTAAGCTGACAACAAAAATTTAAACCAATGGGTTTTGCAGATTTCGATAATTTGTACACATATTGAACATTGAAATCTGTTGAAGCGGCTGACCTTTCTCGGTGATCCGATAATTGTCCACAGCCCCGATGCTCGCATTTGCGATACCGAACTTCTTCGAATCGTGTTCACCTCGCGGTCGGTAATCCATTTTAGAATTTCACGAATTGTCGGTGTTTTTGGAGGTGTGGCACGGCTTGTCCTGGAGGTCGTGGAAGAGGTCTATTCGGCCGTGGAACAAAGCCAATCACGATTTCGGGGAAACACGGCAGACGACTCGAGAGACCGCCGTTATAAATAATGCCGTGACGCACGTACGTTGGACATTTAAAAACACAAAGCGCATCCCGAAGCCGCTCCTCCGTGAACGAGAATGATGGATCGCGACCGGTGATTTTGACGATTTATTTCGGGACACGTTTCGCTCGATTTTTACTGCGGAATACCTAGCGAAATCATGCGTTAACAGCTCACAAATCGCTACAAAAATATCTGATCTTAGCGGAGTTTTCCACCGAATTTGACATTATTACATGTTCGAATGAGTATCTACTATTCAAGATCTGTAGAGACGAGATTAGAATGCTATGGTTCGACATTGTGGCCAGAAAAACTATAGTTTTTACAGTGCCTAAAAAATACAGCTACGAAAACAATTATAATCAGTCGGAGAATTCTCTAGCTGATTCAGGCAAAAAGATCATTTCGCTCTCTGATTGGTCAGTGTAGATCGGTAAAAACTAGTTAATCTTTTACACTCGAGATTATTTTAACTCAAAAATGTGCAGACATTTGTTTGAATCATATAGTATTTCCGTTTGGTATTATTGTTTTTATTTCATACATATGAATAAAATATGAAAATATGAGATAAAATGTAATATATGAAACAAATAAAAAGTAAAATATGATAAAAAATAAAATATGAAAGAAAAGCAATAAAAAGTGTATTCTTATAGTAGACTTCTATTATTTGACAATTTATCGAATACACACAAATTGAATAATGTGAAAGTTCTTGAGGAAATAGTGCAGCAATTTTTAACGTCGTCTCAGATTCGCCACTAGAGTACAAAGGGTTAACAAAGCCGTGGAGAACATTTTCGCTCGGACAACCTCAGAAAGTACCCACTTAAAATGATCCCGAACATTTTTGGGACACTGTATTATAATAAAACGTTCTAATGATATTATAATAAAAATGAGAATGGAGAACTAATAAAAAAAAATTAGCGTAACCCGTATGTGATCGATGCGGCACTCATGTTAATTAGAGAATAGTCAATATTGTCATGACAGTGTTACTCCCAGCAAATGATTAAAAATATTGTTAATTCGTTTGATTTCAGGCTAACCGTTCGAGGACACGCCATTTGAGCTGCCACTGAGGCTCTACTGCGAGGAAGATTCCGGATTGGATGGTGTACCGGGTCGAGTGTGCTGCAAAGAACACTAGATCAGCGAGTCAAGGAAGAGAAAGAGAGAGAGAGAGAGCAATAAAGCTAGATAGAAAGAACGCTGGTTGAAATCTCCGAAGGATCATGGCGGGCGAGGACACGCAGATCCTGGCGAACGGAAACGTCGAGGCGCTCACTATAATCCCGCCGAAGATGGCGAATGGGAACGGTCTGATCTGCGGCAAGCAGCACAACAATAACGGCTCGATACCGAACGGGAAGCTGCACGAGATCGCCGGGACGGAAAACGGGAAGTTGATCATGTCCGACGAGAAATCCAGTAGCCTCCACACGGAGTTCGACGACGCGGACGTCTCTTGCGGCTGGGGCCCGTGCAGGCCGCACTGGCTCCAGTATTTCGCCACGAAGCAGGCCTTCCTGGTTACCTTCTGCATCACCTGGGTTAGTATTCGATGGTCCTATTATGGGTCCGCACAAATCTGCAGGAATTATTTACGTAAAGGCACTCCTATTAATATTCGAACAACTTTTAAAACGCAATAACTTTTTTAGAACCGGAGTAAATGACTTGAATTTTTTTTTAGATGATAGAGGGACCAATCCATTAGACCATAACTAGAATGCTTTTTTTTTAATTTTGCTGTTGTTTAGAATGACAAAAGAAACTTAAGAACTTCCACTTTTACTTTTTTTTTGTCTGAGCCAATAACGAAAATTTAAGAAATGCATTTTGTAGATCTCGGTAACTTGTATGCATGTTGATAATTTCATCGAAATCGGTTGACCTTGATATGAGCTGTAAACAATTAAAAATCGCAAAGATCGCAATTTTGTCTCGATTTTTGACACTTTCGACCAGTCGGCAGTTGTTAAAATCTTTTAACGCTTGTAACTTGACTGTGCGTTAAGCTTGACTTAACCTTGACTTTCAGCATGCATATAACTACAAAACGCATTTTTTAAATTTTCGTTATAAGCTCAGATAAAACAGTTCAAAAACGAAAGTCCTTTATTTTGTTTTGTCATTCCAAATAATAGCAAAACTAGTATAGTCATTCCAAATAATAACAAAGTCGTTTAGTCATTGTCTAGTATACTAGTCCCTCTATCATCTAAAAAAAAAATTCAAATCGTTTAGTCCAGTTTTAAAAAGGTCATTGCTTTTTAAATAGTGTCCGAACATTAATGGGAGTTACTGTAGATGATGTACGACTTAAAATGAGCCCAATGTCCCGTCGAGGTGTAGATGGATAGACTAGAGATAATTGATGTAGACCTTGTACGAGATACATGTAGTATATGAAAAAACAACAGATTAGACATAGATAACAAGTTACTGTAATCTTTACCTTATTGTATTCCAAATGAATCCTTTTGGAGGTCATATTCATATTTCGCAAATGAATTTAATCCTTTCGCAAATTGAATTCACATCTTTGTAATTATTTGTAATAAAATTCATGTGGAATTCCAAAATCGAGTGACATTTCCAACTAATTATTGAAGATTAATGAAAATTAATTGTTTGCAATCAAGATTTGTATTATTTTACACCTATTATAAGTATGTATGTATAGGGATCCATATTAAATTTCAAAATTGAATAATGTATGAGACTAATTTTAATCTATGGAAGGGTTAATTTTACCCGCAGAAGATGTATATTTTCAGTGTAAAATTGGTACATCGCAAAAAGGAGAATCTAAAAGATTGCAAACTAATTTCACCGCGGTGTGCAAGTTCGCCCGACGCAGATCGTTAGCGGACACCTGTTGAAACGCAGCAACCGACAACAGCGCGATCGTCAACGTTCCGTATCGCCTTTTTTCAGGTACTCCAGGGTATGTACTACACGTACTTCGTCTCGGTGATCACGACGATCGAGAAGCTATTCCAGATCCAGTCGAAGACCACCGGTATCATAATGTCGGCGACGGAGATCGGCCAGATCGGCTCCTCTCTCCTGCTGACGTACTACGGAGGCCAAGGTCACCGGCCCAAGTGGATCGCTTGGGGCATGATCCTGTTCGCGGTGAGCTCGTTCACCTGCTCGATGCCCCATTTCATCTTCGGCGAACAGCTGATCCATCAGAACGAGATGCTGGTGAGCGGTGTCGGAACGAGAGGCGACCACGGGGGTCTAAACAACACCGACCCGATACCCGCGAACCTTTGCAAGATCCAGGAACGACCCGAGAACGTCACTCTCGAGGAGTAAGTGTCGTATTCTAGGTGTACAAGTCGCAGTGTTGGATCCTATACGGGATTTTCGGACAAAATGAACTCTAGAAAGACTCACTGGGGCTGCCGGCGACCACACACAATTTTTAATTTGCCTGAAAACATGTAAATAAATATTAAAACGATGTTATTATATGCATACAAGCCGAAATTCCTAGTACAGCCGAGCAGAGGGTGATTCTACGTGAAAAAATAAGAAACAAATTTGGTATAACATTTTTTTATCCGGGGCTCTGGTTTTCGAGAAAATCGATTTTAAAGTTTGTTCATCTTTTTAACACGTTCGTTGCCCAGCGCAATTCGGTTGAGTTTCTCGCGGGGCCCAAATACGACTCATGGAGCACCGAAACATAAACAGAGCGATAAATTGTTTAAATAAATAATTTTAAATAAATTTAACCTTGACATAACCTGAACGTCAAGAAGCGAAGAAAAATGTAGAAAAAACTACGACCTATTGTTCGAATCGTCCAAAATCGCCTCAAATGTGTTTAGAATCTTTCAACGCACACCATACGACATAGTATAATGTAATGTGTTATACTAAATATAAATTAGTAAAAAGTATAGTATAATATTTTTAGTATTTTTAAGTTGTATATCCTATATTTATATTTCAGTGCTTATTCCATTTTATTCCTTTTCAAATCCAACTGATAGTCCTATAAATTGAATAAGAAGAGCGTCACCCATATTTGGGTGACGGGGCCCCCCACCGAAGCATACCCGTCACCCAGATCTGGGTGACGCGGCGACGAACGTGTTAAAGGATTTAGTTGACGTCTATTCTTCTACCGCAGTTACCTCCGTCCTAGATAGTGTTTATAAACATTGACAATAATGGAAACATTCCGTTTACTTACTACTGTCTATTGCTCAGAAGAAAGTTGTTTCGGCAGAGGGGCAAGGGGGCATTCCGCTCGCTTCGCCTAACCTGCATGCTCGTAGTTCCCACTTTTCTAAGACCTCCTGAAACCCACTTATATTGGTAAACGAGAAGACCAACAAGCTAATCGACGCGAGGAGCAAGGGGGATCGGTCGCCCGCTCCACCCAATCACGTCTCTTGCTCAGCGAGTTACTTAGCTAGTAATAATCAAAACTCTGAAAATTGGAAGAGGATAGGTGGACCGATTCCTCTTGCCCTTTGCGTCATTTAGTTTATGCGTAGTGTTTCATTTTCTCGTTTCCCGATATTACCTTCAGATTCTTAACGTTGTACGTTAACGTAGGCATAAGATATCCGTAAAATTCCTATACTCGAATAATGCATTCCAAGGCTGCGAACATGAGACTAATATTGCACGAGCAAAACATGATTATTTTCAATTAGTTACTTTGTAGTGTCTAACATTTATGATAAATGGATTATGTAATTGCAGTATACTAGAGATATTTGCAACATAAATATATTAGGTCTACCGGAAAGTTCTGTCCTATAGTGTCACTTCAAGTTTCAATCCATATGCACATGTTGATTTGAGACATATATGACTATCTCTCTTTATCATTGCATTTACAAACATGTACTCTCCTAAATAAACTGAAACAAAGATGTCTCACGTCATTATTAAGCGAGACGCGATCGTGAAAACATGGCTACCGATGATAATGCCAGATCACATGCTGCTTTGGCGACTCGTCAGAAAATCGCAGAACTAGGCTGGGAAATTCTGTCACATCCGCCATACTCCCCAGACCTAGCACCCTCCGATTATCACTTGTTTCTCTCTTTGCAAAACTTTTTACAGGAAAAAAAATTCAAAACTGAAGCTGATGTCAACCAAGCACTAGTTGAGTTCGTCGCCTCTAAAAATAAATCATTTTTAAAAAATGGCATTTACAAGTTGCCATCACGCTGGCAAGAAGTCATAAGTAACGATGGAAAGTATATTCTACAATAAATATCATTAAATGTATAAAAATTGTGTTATATTTCAATTCAAAAACGGACAGAATTTTCCGGTAGACCTAAGAGAAAACTATGTGTATAGAACAGCACGTTTGCCGCACAATGCAATGAAAAGTTAATCAAGATGCTAATAATGCTATTGGGATAAGTTAACGCTCTTGCATCTTGTAATTATTGCACCTGTTTCATTTTGTCTCGATTATTCTACGCCTCTTGACTTCCATAGCGCGTCTCCCTCGCCGTGATCGCGTAAATAATACACACACACACACACACCCTCACAAAGCATAGGCACACGCATCTGATATGCTCCTAGCCGAAAATGGCAACCACGGTGGCGCGAGACGTGATCAGAGTCGTGACGCGTTGTTTGTTTTAAGTCCGCCGAACTCGAGTCCCTCGTTTCGTGGAAACTGAGTATGACGGCTAATTTGGGGCCAATAGAAAGGGATCATTTCTACCAATAAAGGAAACGCGTTTACCCAATGCTGTGAGCATGTAACATGACTTCTTGTGAACAACGGACAATACATTGTTCGCAACAATTAATGTTTGTACGGTAGAAGAATAGACGACAAATAAATCGATTTATGATTTTTGTGATTTTTATGAACTTTACTATTATTGAAAATGTAATCAGGTATTTGTAGAGAATTAATTCAATAAAATTGTTTCTTTGGGCATATACATTATGATTAAAGATCGCTATAAATCTGCATAAATGTATTTTTGTCATTTTCACGAAGTAAAATAAAATGGTTGCTTTTAGTGCTCGTAAAATAGTGATAAAAATAACACAATTCCGTAGTTCAGGAATATACGTACAATATTTCTCGACTTCCCTCTATATTAGTTCTGTGATACGTACAAAAAAATCCTACAACTGCTTCGAATAAAATTGTAGAAATAAAAGTTACGATCACGTGTGATGTCTAAAATGTTGGACTTTTCACTATCGCAGATGGACCTCGTCGACGTCGTCGCCGGCTTTCATCGACACGCGTAGTTACTGCGAGGGCGACTTCAAGGAGGAGCAGCTGATACAGTCTAAAATCACCACGGTGGTGCTGGCGATTTTTTTCGTGTCGTTGCTAGGCGTTGGAATGGGTCAGACAGCGGTCTATACACTCGGTATTCCTTACATCGATGATAACGTGGCCAGCAGAGAGAGTCCGTTGTATTTTGGTGAGTTTTATAAACATAAATCAGGTCATTATCCCGTCAGAGAATATTCTAGTGTACATTGTATTTTTGTTTAAATTTCTTTGGAATCTTTTTTCGCAGAAACTATAACACTTTTTGCAAACACTTTTACAATGTTTATTTACAAGTGTTTGGAAAGGATTAAAAAATTTGTTTGGCTCAAGAAGATTAAAATTTATGCCACTGAATACTTTCAAACATAGTTAAGTTTTAAAACAATGATATTAATTATGTTTTAATTAACTCTGTATTAATTATATTACCTTATTAAACAATGCCATAAAGAAGTAATTACATTGAAAAATATTAAAATAATATTAATGAATAATATTATTTAATCACAATTTATTATTATATAATACTCCATATAATTAATTATCTTTTATATTTTTTTTTATTTTCTATTGGAACAAAATTATTGAAATATAACAGTAAGAGGATCTTACCTATTTCTAGCAATTTCATGATCGAGACAAGAAGTACAGCAATATATTGATAACATAAATTTTGGATCAGACTCGGAATCAATTTTGTTTATAATTCATTAAATAAACCAAACTAGTGGTATCTACTAAGGACCTTTTAAAGCACGAATGTCAAAGTTATGTCAAGATTAATCAAATTCAGTTCTCTTGTCATCCATTATTATCCAAATATATCCAAATAAATGTATGCCTACAATCAAAATAAATTCTCTTTCTTCTTAGTAGCCATTACAATCGCAAAAATTCTAATCACTGCAACTGTCACGAAAATGATCCGACAAATGGTTAAAATAATACAGTAGATGATCAATCGATATTTATCACGAAAGATACGAAATGCCTTCCCTATGTGCTATACAATTGCTCTAGCTCGTTCTCTCCCATAATCGCGGTACACACCACGGCGGATTGTTCTGTTGCAGCGATCACGATCGGAGTGAGAATCCTCGGGCCGGCCCTGGGCTTCATCCTAGGCTCCCTCTGCACGATGATCTACGCGGACTTGTCGGTGAATCCGCAAATCACGCCGACGGATCCCAGATGGGTCGGAGCTTGGTGGCTCGGTAAATTGAATTTCCATCGCTCGTTTCGTCGTTGCGAACGGTATTATTCGTCGTCGCGGTCGTCGATCCTTTCGAACAGGTTTCGGGATCGGTTCGCATAAAGTTTGCCACGGGTGGGTAAACTCCGCGAGCCGTCACGTCGAAACGAGTTCGAAAGAGTCGCACAAGCAGCACGCTAATTCGTTGTACAAATTTTCGGTCGCGAACAGAAATCGATGAGAATCCGGTGTACCGTGTTTCAGGTCTGGTGCTAATATCCGCCATGCTGATGCTGGTCAGCATTGGAATGTTCGCGTTTCCGACGAGGTTGCCCGCGAGCAGAACCCCGCCGAAACGATCGGATGCGAAAAAGCCTAGTCTCAGAGGTAAGAAGCCGTGATTCATCTTACAGCGTGACTTTTCAGTTTCAACTTTCTGTATGGTCCTCTTTCGTTCGAGCACAAAGAAGTTTATGTAACTCGAAATCGGAAAATATTAATCTTCGCATGCAGATTAAGAAAAAAATATTAACAAACGGAGATTCAAATTGAATCTTGTGTGTGAAGGAAATGTTGAAAATGATGAGGAGAAACTAACAGTGTAGGACAGGATGTAAGATATTTTTTTAGATGTCAAGGTTAGAAATAAAAATAGCTTAAAAACTTAATAAACCGGCGTGTGATTTCGAACTTACACCGAGCCACTGAGAGATAAGTTGAATTTTGTTTCGAATTTTACACGATTGTTCAAAAACTGCACAATTTTATTTTTAAATTATTAAAATATTATTTCTAATTATATTATATTATAATATAATATTATAATATTATTATTATTATATTATAATATAATATTATGATATTATTATTATTATATTATAATATAATATTATAATATCATTATTATTATATTATTATGACATATATAATAAATAATTAAAAGATCATTAAAGAACGCGTTCACATACAAAATATGCTGCTTGAAAAATATTTTTCGCAAAATGTACGAATATTGAGAAAGTAATTAATGTCATACAATCGAACTTGTTAATTTTAATTTTGCTCTAAATCGAATATCTTAATTTAATGACATTTCCGAGATTTTCAACTCGACAGTCGAGGTATTAAACAACATGAACCACTATCACGAGCGAGCGGCTTGCAGTTTTGCGAAACGCAACCGAACCCTATTCCGAGAACGCTATCTCACATCCGAATAACGGAAGGGCGACCCTTTTCCGTTTACTGGCTATTCGCTTCGCTGAAACCTGCGATCGAAATTCGCGGCGCGACAACGGAAGCGAGCGTAAGTACGTATCCGGATCGTAAACGGCAGCCGCGCGGCGTCGACTTTGTACGAGATTTTTGACCTTGACCGACGATCCGTTGTTCACGAGACGTGAGAAGAGGTTGCGTTAAGTCCTCGTTGCGTTGTGTGTTGCACTCTCGCTCTTGCAAGAGCGTTCCTCTATCGCGGACGACTCGCTTGACCTGGAAAACAAGTACATTTTTACCTGAAAATATTAACCCTTCACTAGCATTGTCGGTCTGCGAGGCTAATACTAATTACTCATTCATTTGTGGTGATAATGTAATTGTAAGAGAAACTGTAAAAAAAGAGAACGTATACATATAACACATTTGCTTCTGTTGAATCGAACTTGGACCCCTTCGTTATTGACATGGAAAAGTAGGAACAGTTGATTTTGATTTTATGTTTAACAATTTCATGTCCATAATATCGCAATAAACATTAAACCTGTCAATTTTTCGAACAGAAATGTTATTAAATATTTTTCTTATAGTTGAAGAATTAATAAATCATATGCACTTCATATTTTACTTTATTATTTAAATAAAATCCTTCTGTTGTTACACTGAAGGTGCATAACCCTTTAAAATGTGAACGATGAAAGATTCCAGTCATTCTGTTCTTACAATTTATTGCAGAGAAATTATTTTGATGAACTTAATGTCTCAGTTGACTAGAATTATTCCTTCGCGTTTTTGTCGAACGATGATCATAAGGTTATTTATTGAATAGCCAGTAATTAAATAAATGAACAATTAATGAAGTAATTGACCCCACTGTACATTCACTTTTTAGATGCTATCGTAAAGAAGTCATTTTAAAGTGAATCTGAATTTGAAAAAGTTGTAAAAAAAGCACTGAATCTGATATTGATTCTCGACTATTGTTTCATTGATTATTTTGAAGCATCTGTGCAACATGCAAAACCCCAATACAAAGACGACAAACAATTTTCGTCAAATTCTATCGACCAGAAAAAAGAAAATCGCAGAAGAAAGAAAAATCGCTTGTATACGAATCACGTGCGGGCTTTTTGGCCGAACGGCGCCACTGCATGGCGCACCGCGGATTCCACGGTTACGCGGATAGCGCAAGAAAGCGGGATAACCATCGGAAGAGAGTGCGCGCGTGTTCGGAGCGTTTACTTTCTCCGGCGTGGCGTGGCTGCGGTGTCTCAGCCGATCTTCGAAAATGCAAACGCGCTGCGCGATGCGACGCCGTACGTGTATTTCTGTACGGTTACGTTGCGCGAGGCGTGTTATGTCGGTCGAGAGGTGCACGGGACAGCTGAGATAAGTCTCTCTCCGCTCCCCACGAGGAGCGGATCCGCGTGCAGAAGAACACGGCCGTATATGCGCGGAGAAATGCACGCGCGCGTGCCTGCCGAGTGCTATGCACGACGCATGACCGTGAACTTGCCCCACCTAGTGCACCAGTCGGTCAGTCATCATTATTAACGCACACACGGGGCACCGTGCGTTCGCACGTGCACCGCTGCCACGCACACCGGCACGCAGTGCACGCGCGTACGCAACACGCCGCCGCGCCGCGCCGCGCCGCACAGTGTTTTAAAACGGGCGTTCGACCACTCAAAACTATGTTTCCACTTGAAAGCAGTTCGGTCATAGAAAATATGTTGGATTACTGATAACTGTGATTTCGTAGAAGTGTTCTCTTTAGAAATTTGAAATATTTGAAGCAAAAACTGAATTATTAAGGCTGTAAATGACAGTATTAGAAACGATGGAAGAAGTATTTTATTTGCAACTACCTGATATGCTGTTCCTTTTATTTTCTTTTGTTTCAACTGTAAGTAAGTCTATCACATAACTTTTATTCGGGAACACAAGAAATGTTTCAAAAAATACTCTCTTGCGAAGATCGATTGGCTCAAGTTGAGCGGATTTAGGTAGATTTTGTGTGCATGTATGAAGACGGAATTTGAATCAGAAGTCGAATCAGTATGAATTACGCTAAATTATGCTCCCCTGAGAACTATTTAACTTTTATTTGAAACATTTCTTCAATATTCAATATTTTCATATTTATATGTAAATAATAGAGCTTAGACAGATTACACTGTGCATGTGTATAAAAATAAATGTGTATTCTACAATGTAGATGTAGTGTGATAGGATATCTTAACAAGTTAATTTTAATAAGTTATAATTTAATAAATTTAATAAGAGTTAATTTTAATGTCGTGATTTTACAGAGCGTTTGCGAAGAGGATCCGCAAACTTTAAAATTAAATTACACAAAATATTGCAGAAACTAGCACCTGATTTAGACAGAAATTAAAGCACTAGACTTTCATTACAAGATAAAACAAACAACATGACCAATTCGGATAGTTCTACTCCAAAAACGAAACTTTAATCATTAGAAATTTGACCATTTTCGAGAGTATGAACTGGAATGTTTAATCAGTTTTCTCCATTTCCCGTTTGTAAATTTAAAAGTGCGCACCTTCCACTTCAAAACTTCTGACGAACAATTTTTATATTATTAGTTCTAACATTAGCATTACTTTATTAACCTAGTCTATTACAAAAGAAATAGTGTCCACATTTATACAAATATATTAAAGAAAAATATAATCATTTATGTTTTATTCCGTGATAACTCCTCGCATAGAGTTGCGCTAAATTAATTAGCTGAAACTAATACATTGACATAAAATCCGCAGTCTGGTTATTATAGTCTAATGGTGATTGCAAATACCAATTTTCATATCGAATTTTGTTTAAATTAAAATAAAAGATATCTCTCGTTGTCTGAATGGAACACGTTGTGGTAAACATGAAACAATAAACAATTTGCTGACAACCGGTAACTATGAAAACGAGCCGCAAGGCTCTTCTTCCCAAATTGTCCATTTTTGTTCATAAGCTGTGGGAGAAATAGAGAGAATTATTTATTTATTTTCTTTTTGTATTGTGAACTCATACGCCAATTTTAGCAAGGTATTAAGTCTCGCTTGGTTCGCTTCTGACAATATTAACCCTTTGCACTCGGATGGCATTGCTTTTTTGTTATTATTTTTATTCATACTGTAAGGTAATCGCGTGAAATAGAAAATATTTCTCATTGTTATGAAATTTCGCAGCGGTACAATGATTTTTATTTCAATTCAACTTTGTATAGTATAATTACTGTATTATGGTAATTTTTCTCACATTGCCCCTCAGCTTGGAAACGAAAATGGACAACTTGTGAAAACGAGGTACGATTATTCGAGAGAAATTAACTGCATTTATTTTCGGTCGCGTACACGTTTTCTCGAATGTTAGAAATTCGAAAGTCGTACAAATGCATAAACATCCTTTAGGTCGTTTCGTAGTCGGTTTTGGTAATGATCTAACACAGGATGATTCGATGGATGCGAGTGCTGCTTTCGCGAGGCAAATCGTAGCGAAAGAAACTGTTTCTCTCTCTTTCAGTATTCTAGATTTTCTGTTCAAACTTTTACTTCTCGCGTACTATCGCAACGTTTCCTTGACGAGGATAAAATTTTCGTTTCTCTCTAACAAAGTTTAGTAAGCATTTTAACCACGCCACCGACGGATGACAAAATCTCCATAACCGAGTTCTACGATTTACTCGTATTTGTCGTTTGACTCAGGCTTAGGATACGCAAGAGATTCTGCAAAGACATTCTGCGTGCATTCTTGCGAGTACAATGTGCGTCGAGGGTGACCTCCGATGCAACCATTCCCATTTAAATCAATGTAATCAGTTTTTCCTTGAGCGTAAGTCGTCACTCGTGCGAGTAAAGTGCGCAAGCATGCTTCTGATGTGAATCAACCTTTAGTCTGCAAGCGGTTGCGTCTCAAATTTCAACACAATTTTCCTCGAAGATTATTTACATAAAAATGCACAGAACAAGGTTAATGAAACTACCCGTTCGAATTAGGTATATTACTAGGTGCACATATTCCTGGCTATTTCTTAGCATTGTACATTTACAAACAACTAAAATAAAGAGTAGGCATAATTTTATTATTTTATTGGAAAGATCTGTCCTTGCTCATTTCGATAGCAGTCCTAATTTTCTTTTTCATTCGCCGAATCT